GCAGCTAGCTGGAGACCCCGGAGAGCCAACGGGAGAGCTCCAGCCTGAGTCTGAGAGCATGTGAAGCAAGAGAGCCCCTGGGCTAGTTCCACTCTGAAGGCTGGCCCGCTGGAAACCCAGGGAGAGCCGTGTTTCCGTTTGAGTCTGAAGGCCAATGTCCCCCTTCAAGGGCAGTCAAGGAAGAGAAGCCCTCTCTTATCTGGGGGAAAGGTCGACTTTTTTGTTCTTTTCGGGCCTCCAACTGACTCGCTGAGGGCCACACGCACAGAAGAGAGGGCAATTGGCTTTACTCAGTCTACTGATTGAACGTTTGTATCACGCCCAGACCCCCTTACCGACACATCCAGAATCACATTTGACCAAACTCTGGACCCTCCGTGGCCCAGTCTAGTTGACACATAAAATTAATCATCACGGTATCCTTGTGGACAAGACACAGAAATAAGAGCTAGATGAGAAGGCAGTCTGCAAGCGTTGATCCACAGATGAGGATGTTGTTGATGGACCGGCGTCAATATGGTAGGAGGCCTGTCGCAAAAGAATGACTTACACGGAGTCCTTTTCAGGGTAATACCATGCCTCAACTGAATTATGCTCCACATAACACTGGGTGCCTAAAAAACAATGAGTCTCATTTATTTGGTGAGGATAGTCTTCCCCCTGGAAAAGATACGGCTTACAAGGAGGCAGTGTTAAATGCTTCTATTCTGTATCGACATTTGCTGTGTAGGTCTCCACATTTCCCATCCCAGAGAAAGCGAGAGCACCATGGGGTCTCGGAGCATCCTCCTCACAGGGCGTCTGTGACTTAAACCTTTTCCAGTGCTCCTTCCTATGGGAGCTCGTATCGTTAAGTGACAAAAGCCAGGACAAGATAGTAGAATACCCTTTGTCTACAAATACCAACCTATACATTGGTATAAATGTAGAGTCGTATGAGACTCGCGATTAGGGAGAGCAAAAGGCAAGCAGGTGCACAAGTAAGGAGTGTTCACTCTTTGACCTTCCTTTTTTTTTTAAGATTTTTTTAAGTTTATTTATTTAGAGAGAGAGAGAGAGCGAGCATGAGCTGGGGAGGGAGAGAGAGAGAAAATCCCAAGCAGGCTCCGCACTGACATTGTGGAGCCCAGTGTGGGGCTCAATCCCCTGAGTCGTGAGATCATGACCTGAACCAAAATGAGGAGTCAGACACGTAACCAACTGAGCCACCCGGGCGCCCCTGAACTTCTTGTAGGCAGTGTGCACGAATTGACTTCTTATTCGTTAGCATCTCATCAAATAAAATAGAGAAATGTATTTGAAATTTCAGAAATTTGCGGGGCGCCTGGGTGGCTCAGTCGGTTAAGCGTCCGACTTCGGCTCGGGTCACGATCACACGGTCCGTGAGTTCGAGCCCCGCGTCGGGCTCTGTGCGGACAGCTCGGAGCCTGGAGCCTGCCTCCGATTCTGTGTCTCCCTCTCTCTCTGCCCCTCCCCCATTCGTGCTCTGTCTCTCTCTCTCAAAAATAAATAAACATTAAAATTTTTTTTTTTTTAAAAAAAGATATCTCAGAAATTTGCCTTTTACCAAATAAATAGTGGAAGAGAGTTAGGGGGAGAAGAAAAGGAAGGAGGGAAAGGAAAGGAAAAAAAGGAAAGGGGAACAGAGCAGGGGAGGGAAGCAGAGAACGGGAGGAAACACGGACAGGCCCTCAAGCTAGCTTCTTCCTGGTCCCTCTCATGACGCTGTCACTTCAGAGATGGAGGTTTCTGTGTTGAGCTTATTCCTTCCTAGGACAGGCCAGAGGAATAGGGGTCTCATGTCGACAACTTCACAAACTCACGTGCATAATAAATGACACTTTCTCTGAACGCAAACGTCCATTTTCCCACGGCAGCCGAAAATGTTACCTCGGCCATTCTTACCGTCTTCAGTCCTTCTCAGGGTTGTGCCCCAGTCCCGGCATGTTGCCCAATGCCAAGGAATGATGGAGGGCAAAGCAGGAGTCTGTGGCCGACCTTCAAGTCATAGACTGCGGGTCGTCAGTGGACACAGGTTACCACAGGTCAATGCCAAGAGGCCGACTGTCCCATGTGCATGAGCCCTTTGGGTCCCATGGGTCCCATGTGCATGAACCCTTTGGGTCTAGAAGGTATCTGCTGCTTCTAGATTACAGATGGGACCCAGAAATCATTTTCCGGGCCTCCTATGGTCCCATCTGCCACAAAATGGTCCTCCTTCAAGCCATGCCACCTCCCCAGATGTGTGTGTGTTTGGGGTGGGGGGGTCACAAGAGGTTGTCCCAAAGTGGGTCCAGGTTCCTGACTTTCTAGAGCCCAAACTCCACTTTCTCTTCTTCCTCCAACCCTGAGCTTTATTTTAGTTAAGAAAACAGTCTGGGGGTACCTGGGTGGCTCAGTCGGTTAAGCGTCTGACTTCGGCTCGGGTCATGATCTCACGCTTAGTGGGTTCGAGCCCCGCGTCAGGCTCTGTACTGACGGCTCGGAGCCTGGAGCCTGCTTCAGATTCTGTGTCTCCCTCTCTCTCTGCCCCTCCCCCATCCATGCTCGCTCTCTCTCTCTGTCTCTCAAAAATAAATAAACATTAAAAAAAAAAAAAAGAAAACAGTCTGATAAAGTCACACACCCTTTTGGCTAGGACATCCTGATGGCACAAAATATCTTTTCATTCATCTTGCAGTTTAAGCTGAAGTATTCACTTCCTGAACTGTGACTTTCGTCTCTGTTTTCCAAGAGGAAACAAAGTGGATTCTTTCCTGCGGAAGACAATTTGTAAAAACTTGGCTCACACTTGATTTGGTTTTTTCATCTTCCTAGATCCCCAAAGTTAGCGAATCACAAAAAACAATTTTACCAGGGTATTCTCTCCGGGTCCCTAGCGAACATTGAACTTGTTCCTAGCGGGACATTGGGCACAGAGAGACAGAAATCAGTGCTGTGGGAAGGAGCGGAGAGGTTTCACTACCAAATGTGCCTTAGACACACATCATGCCAACTCTGAGATTAAGGCCTAGTCAAGGTCAAAGCCAGGGTTGATTACTCAAGTCCGTACTGAAGGTAGCCCGTTCCTATCCCTTTCCTGCTTCTCGGTGTGCTTAGAGGAGATTCTGGTTATAGCCCCGTCATAGGGGCTGGGGGTCAAAAACCAAGAAAGCAAATCTAAGGAGAGATGAGCAAGGACTGCAGATGCTGAATTGGGATAAATCGAAAGGAAATCCGTCAACATTCTTCGTCATCACACGTGTCTCACTCCACCGCTTGTTAGATATTGTACCGCACCAACCACAGCTCTTTATACGGGGGCAGAGTCAGTCTCATCGTTGTATAATAGTTCATGCTCACTGAGTATTTGTGGGATTTCTTTGAATTTAAAGTGAGTGAAAGGGGCGCCTGGGAGGCTCAGTCGATTGGGCATCTGACTTGGGCTCAGGTCATGATCTCACAGTTCGTGAGTTCGAGCCCCACATCAGTCTCTCTGCTGTCAGCACGGAGCCCGCTTTGGAGCCTCTGTCCTCCTCTGCCCCTCCCCCCATGCTCATTCACACACTCTCTCTCTCTCTCTCTCTCTCAAAAATAAACATATAAAAAAAATAAAGTGAGTAAATGAAAGTCTAGCAGGCGATCTTCAGTGTGGACAAGTACGATAGAAGAAGGAAAATAATGTAAATTATATTGATTGAATGTCAAACTTTAGGTGCACAGTGACAACTCAGACTTTAAGAAAAACTAACAGATTGTGCCAGGAAAAACAATACAAATCTCCTAGTTTTAGAACTTCTGATCTGTTATAGTGTCAGTGAAACACATAAAGACAAAATATTTTATTCAAAGATAACATGATCACTGCTCAGAGAAATGAAAAACAAAAAAAGTACATGGAATTTTGATGAGCACTGAGTCATGTATAGATTTGTTGAGTCATTATATTGTATACCTGAAACTAATATAACACTGTAAATTAACTCAACTCACAGTTTTTAAAAGTACATGGAGAAAAGACTGGAAATAAATTCATTCAAAATGTTACCTGAATATTTGGGGACTGAGGACTTCAACTTTCTACTTTGGTGTTATTCAAGTCTTCTAGAGTGAGCAGATACCACATTTATAGTGACAAAAAAAAAAACATTTTTTTTAATTGTCTTTTT